TTACCAAGTGACCCAGAGTGACTTCCACATAGGAGTACAACATTTTGGGGGGTCCAACCCTTTGGTCATTGGTTTCATTCCTGATAATGAGGTCCCTGTTATTACAAGGTACAGTCTGCATAGTCTAAAAAGACCGCAAACCTTTGTCTCATAGTCAATTCGTCTCATTCTTCCCTTCCCCCCTTCAGCCGGACATGATCGGCCACTACCTGGGGGAGTTCAGCATCACCTACAAACCAGTCAAGCACGGCAGACCGGGTATCGGTGCCACCCACTCGTCCAGATTCATCCCCCTCAAGTAGGCTTTGAGATGAGGAAACAGGGGCACTTGGGCTTACGGACATTTGTAACTAGTAATGATGATGGCGACGTGTGACACACAGGAAGATGAGGACAGAAAAAGAGAAATAAAACAGGTCTGAAGGGCCTTATTACTCAAGGGATACTGGATGTTGCATGTGCCTCTGTACTTGTCTGTATTGATCCCAGATCACAAACCACACTGTGAAGACCACACTGTGTTTGTTTCTGTCTTGTGACCACACTGTATTCGAAGAGGGACCAGCAATGCAAGGACTCACCACAGTTTCTAACTTGTCAGTCCATGTAAGACTTGAAGGTTTTCATGGTGAAAGAGCTATATGAGTAAAACGACTGCGGTTACACCATGGATCAATCTCTTTCTTGAGTATTTGTGGTTCTTAGAAGAACCAGAACCACACATACTCAAGAAAAAGATTGATCCATATCGTTTTATTCATTGTCAGTCCAAAGTTTTCAAAAATGAAAGTTTTTCCCACTGTGTGGTCTTTGGCACTGGATGTGCACTTTCATACGGATCACTGTGGTACTGTAGTTGTACTTGTAGGAACTAGACACAGATTGAACAGTGGTCATCATGGGGGCAAATTTGTCCCAATTGCTCCGCCTAAACTTTGGTAACAAAAAGAAATTGACCACTCGGTGCAGGGCCAGTCGGGCACACGAGCCACCATCCGTTAACCACTTGCCTCCTGGGTTTCCGGAACCGCGCACCTTGGGTTTGTATGCATAGCCAGGGTAACCAAAATCGGACAAAAGAGCTGGGCCTTGTAAAAAAGGACCACACTCGGAACAAAAGACCAAGTTGCTGGGATTTGCCATCATTTTTCAGTTGGCATTAGGGGAGTTAATCCATCATTGTTTTCAAACAGTATACCACTGTTTACGGCATTCAGTGCCTGCGGATTATCAGCGGCGACAAAAGCGCTCCAGGGATGAACGATACCGTACCACTACATGCGAATCTGGCCACATTTGAAAAGGCGCCACTGGCATTCAGCAACACACTGGGCCAATTCTGGGAACAAAGGAAAGTATGCAACACCACACAATCTGGGCTCTTTTTACCAGGCAGCAGGCCTGGCTGAAATAATTGGGCGTCAGTGTAGGTTGCCTGTCAGATTAGAGTAGCCACCAAACAGTCATTCATGTGAATGTATACATCTAGTAAATGAAGTTATGAATTTTTGAAGAAATTGTGAAAACAGAAAATCTTGAAAATCCCCTGGGAACTCACCCGCAGGTGCACATTCCATTGGTTAAACGTAATCCACTGAAAGTGGTTTTCAACATTCCTTCAGGTGTAGTAACAATCTAGATGATATTTCTATGCCAGTATTTTACCACACAAAACAAATTCCAGATAAATCATATATTAGTCTTTCCTTTTATTTATGTGATGGGCCACTCTGCCTTACACAGTACAGAACCAGTGTTTGTGACGCCAATTCTTAAACACACTGTTTTTAGCTTCAAAAACCTCTTCAAAAGCTGTGTGCTATAATTCACAGCACGTCCCAAGCAATTCATATGCATTCAACAAACTGGAAAGGGTTTAAAATGTCAGAACATGTTACTGTTTGTGTGAAAGCTAGCATTGGGCCAGTTTGGTATTCCACCAGCGCTCTCCCACAATGAAGGGCGTGAAGGTCATCGGGATGCGCGTGCCAGGCAGACCTGGCACGCGCATCCCGATGACCTTCAAAGTATGTGTGCGAACTCGCACACATACTTTGTTCCTGAATGACCTTGCTGTTTTGATATACCAAACTGGCTTTTGGGAAATTTGAATTGTGACATTTTAATCAGGACCAATTATGCTAGAGTCCAAGTTTCACTCATAACTCAAAATCAGTAACCACTTAATAACTTTTTTTACACACTTTGTGGTGAGCCATCAATGGGATTTTAGGGTTAGAACATGCTTTGAATTACCATACGGAGTAAAGACAGGAAACGGTCAAAATCTAAAAAAGCAGAGCAACTTCTGAGAAAAAAGTTAACTGCAATCTCAATCATACACCCAAATGTTCAATCTTTTATATATGAACTGGAAGTCAACTATTTACAATGTAAATGACCATCTGCATCAAATACATGGATGTATCTCTAAACTGAGGCCTAACATACCTTAGCTTGAGCAAAAAGGACTCCTAAACTGCGCCAAAGTTCCTTTCCTAAGAAGCACAAGATATGTGTATGCTTCTCAATTTCAAGGATACAAACCCAGGATGTCGGGGGTACATGTACTGTACTTATGAACCTGTGAACTTTGCTTCAGTGCATGCTTTCTAGCCATAAAAGCTCTGAATGTAATTGTTCCCACAAACAAATTGAGAAAAACCTCAAGTGAAGCTACAGAAAACTAGTAGCATGCAGTAAACACACCATTTTGTATGTAGCTATCAAACAACGTCGACACACATGGCCATGCTCACATACATGTAGCTCTAAATTATTTTGTCTTTGGAACTGGTGTAAACTACTTCAAAGTGGCAATGCGCAGAGGACCAGCCAGGCACAGTGTACATGTAAATCATATTTCGTTGGTGACCAACACCAGAGTTCTCTTTCCACTGCCATTTCCAATTTGCTCAGCTCTGTCAATCCTGGGCCTAATGTCATGACTCCACTTACAAAATAAAACATTTTCTGTTTAAACAAAGTCAAGACTAGTGGTATTACCTTGTGATAATTAGAACTCTGTTGTAAGATTTGAAAAACACAGAACAGCCCAAAAAACTCAGTAGACCTGTAACTTCAAAAATGTCGCTTTTTAAGACTATTTTGTTACAAGAGTGCTCTTTTTATAAGGAGTTGGCAATATACATACATTCTTTACAGTAGCAAGGAGTCTCCGTTCTGTGTTTCTGTTATGGCTTCTATGCTAACAAACACAGTGCCAAATGTGATGTGTGAGTGGTGTCCAGTTCTGTGGTTGGCCAAGTCATGCTATTGGGCCCAGGCCGTCTTTCTGACCACACTGCAAGGTCCGTTAGGTCTGGTCCAAGGGCTGATCTATTTGCGATACCACATGGTGAGGTTTTGGGCTCGCTTGATTTTTTTCTGGAGTTGAAGAACGCCATACAAGAGTGCTTCAGCAGTAGGTGGGCATCCTAAAAGATAAGGAAATCAATGACAAGTACAAAGTGTTTAATCCGTCTCATATCTCATATTGAATCTGTCTCTGTGAATGTTGAACTGAAGGGTTTGATAATGAACCAGAGTCAGACTCCATAAAATGACCTTGTAGTTAATTCCCTTGGGGGGGTGGCAGTTTATCCAAATTAAGCCTGTGACCTTTGACTTTCTGGATTATTTCAATTCAAACTGAAACGTCTTCATCATTAGGTTTTGTGTATCTGTTCCACATCTGATCATTTGTGCAATGCTGAACACCAAAGTAACACTAAGGCTGAGTTCAGGCGACTTGTTCTCGTATGTTCAGGAACAGCTCGGAACGTACAACCGGTTATCGCTACTAGTTACTTGTAGCATGCAAGCAACATGCAACATGGCGGCGTCCTTGTACATTCTTTGAAAGTTAATGTTTGAGCTAACATCTTTTCCATTAAAAAAAATCATATCTGTCATGGAAAATTATTGATGTTAATTGTGCAAAACTTTCCATTGTCTCCAGTTTTGTTAGCCATCTCCATAGTTCTCAAAGCTTTTCAAAATCAAATCTCACAAGTTTTCCCGTGTGTTCGTGTAAAACCCTGACAAGGAGGTGGAGTGTGAAACTGTTCCAAGAACAGTGTTCTTGGATCACGTTTCCGCCGTTCGAGCGCGAGAACGCAAAACCTGTGTCAAGAACAGGCCGCCCAAACTCCACCTTTATGTATAAGTTTTCTATCATTGCATACACGGTACACATAAATGTACAGAGAAAATTATTCCAGAAATACTGGAAATTCATTACATAGCGCCCTCAAGAGTATGTGCACACACCCTATGGGCCAAACTAAAGCCTTGTCCACATCAACTGGCTGTGGCTAAGAACGTAGAACACATATATATGACAGAGTGGCAGCTAGCCTTTAGCCAATAGCTTCCTTAAGCACCTATGCTATTTCAAGCCGCAGCCAGTCGGACACAGCATCAACTGGCTTTTCCATTGCTACTCAGTTCAACGCAGATGTGTCTGGCTATCATGGCTATACACCAGCCACCACGTGCAGCCGGCAGCACATGCACATGCTAGCCACGGACCTTCATGACTGGCCAATCTGTGCCCCTGCTTTCTCCTCATCGTAGCACTGTTGTCCTCTTTACTATAGAGTACCGGAGTGATTACGTCGCACAATTATGTGTGTAAAAGGCACTAGCATGAGAACCTGTGCGTCAACCAACATGCGCGCGTACTCCATTTGTTTGCACTGCACTTTCTGATTCACAGTGACATCACACTTTGCTACTCTGTAAGTCTATAAATAGGACAGAAACGTACACAAATCGTACCTGGTACATAAATATCCACTGGAACAATTCGATCACAGCCTCGGACGACAGCATAAGAATAATGGTAATAGCCCCCGCCATTCGCACAACTGCAAATAAATGTTGATTTGTACAGCCATTCAAAATCCAGACCTCTGCTCATAAATGTTCAAATTTGCATGCGCTCATCAATAATACACATTCTAAGTTGAACACATTCTGTTCAGCTATTGCTTGTTGTGTCTGGTTTTTATGCTATAGAAATCTTCCCCTAAAAAGGCCAGCTTTACACTGAATGAAGACAGAACACTGTTATCTGGTTCTTAAAGTAAGAAGAAAACAGGCAAGGGAAATTTATTTGAGGAAACCAAATCCAATATGAATTAAATGAAAACCATGTCAAAGGCTGGAATCGAACAAGGATCAACAGCAACCTTAAAAAAAAGGCAACAAACTTCACAGGGAAATTCAGATCTATTGAATAAATTAAAAACCTTGATTTCAACCCAAGGAATGATCATACCTTCCCATGGAAATGACCCATCTGGGCTCGGGCATCTGATCGTATACCTTCCTCAGAGCAGGAGCCATCTTGTTTGTCAGCGTGCCAGCCACGATCATCACGTCGGCCTGCCGCGGGCTGGCACGGAAGACCACACCGAATCGGTCCATGTCATAGCGT